TTCATACCTCTTCCTCTCCTATGTTAAGTTAACTTTTTTACCCTAATTATTATTGTCAATTAAACAAGGGCATCTAATTAGCTTGCTATATTTTTGCCCCTTTCCATTTCTCCTCTTACTTGTCTACTCTATATTTATCTTTGTAATTTTAGAATGGAATAAATAAATAAAATGAAATGAAATGAAAAAATGATATTTTGTAATAACTGAGTTCAATAATTGTTTTATCTTTCGATCACCAAGTTTGTTTCCATATTAAAATGACACTCCGACAGGGAAGCGATCTGCCATTGTTACACAAGTGCGTGCTTACAATTACGCATGACCAGTATATTATTTGCAGCAAACCACATTTAGACAGTTTTAAGCATGAGCAGACTATTATTTGTAGGCAGTTATTTGCAGTCACATGGTAGACTCTTGGCCAATGAAAAGTAAGAAAAAATACAATGTACATCAAATGATAATAAGAAGTCATTGGCAAGACTTATAAATAAACAATTATTATCTTTCCCTCATGAACATGCATGTGACAAGTCATTCAAAGAAAAAATAACTGACAAGAAAACTCCTCAAAGCAGTGGCAAGAACTTGCAACAAACCAAAACCACTACACCAGTATATGTAAATAAACTGAATGTGAGATTCAATTCTCGGCCACCCTTGCTGCTCCTAAGGTCAAATTTATCTGGTTCATTCCTCGTGTCTATGAAGGTAATATTTTGAACCAAAGATATTTTTGTTTTTGAAGAGTCTTTGGAAAGTTTTCCTCGATCTTCAAAGACTGGTTCCTACAATGCAAAAAACCTTCTACAGTGCTGCAAGAGATTTTCATGACTCCAGGACAGGTTATCTTAAAGAAACTGCTCTATCTTTCAAATAATGTCGGGGTCAATATTGGCTATAGTAAGATAACTCACTCCACTTTTGTCTTGTCCACTTCTGAAATTTTGGCTGAAACACAGTGAGGAAGAAATCCTGTCTGTTGAAGATTATGCCAGACCTGCAAAAAAACAAGCAACAAAAACACTGCATCCACCTCACAAATGGCTAGTTGTGAGGTCCCTGCATGTTGCAAACCCATATGATTTCTATGAATTCAGTAACATACAATACTTAATACTCTCCAGGTGAGTAGATCATAAGTTTATCCTGATAGCATGTACTCATGCATTTATAATTTGTATTTAAATCATGGGCCGAAATTTAGATTTTGAACACTGTAACGTTCAAAGGAACAATACATGTACATGTAATTGCCGGTAGGTTGGAGGTAGGATGGAAGTTTGTAATTCTAAATAAAAACAGTTTTTAATGAACAGAACATATCATTTTGTACCTGGTGTGGATCTTTTAATGCTACAGTAGCCAAACAAGACAAGCAAGTGGCAATCAAATCTTGTGGAGGATTTGGTGATGGGGTGCATCTGAAACAACATGGTTTAAAAAACTGTCAGCAACTACAAACATACTCACTCACAACTGAAACCAAGACAGTTTGAGCAATTAGTTTCACACTAAGGAGAGGAATAGGATCAGGTCGGTAATATTCTATCAAATGAATACAATTACTCATTATACATGCATGGCTTGCATTTGTAGCAGATAAATTGCACCCTCTGATTGGCTAATTCTAGGGTATTATTCTCCCGTAGTGCCCAGTGGCCAATTACAGGGCTGCAAAATCAAGGCAAAAAGCCATTTAATAAATACATGTAACTTATTAATCTCAAATGTTTGATCCTTATGGGAAAATCTCAATCCTAGACCTTGTCCTATTGATCTCACTATAGGATCACTCAGTCAATAAAGCAAGCTCTCAGCTTGAGATTTTTCTGTACATGTAAAGACCTCACTCTTGGTTAATAAGTAGTTAATAACAAGCTCTTAAAATTCAAAAGTTCTTTACCTAAGTTATTTCCACTGCATTTGACACTGTTCATCAGCGTTGAATTTCATGTTACACACAGGACTGCTAGCTTTGCCATCAGCTAAATAGTAATCCTGTTTTAAAGAAGTTCTCAATCCAAATCTTCACAAAAGCTGAATTTGAGAACTCTTGGGATGTCTAATATATAACATATGCCACATGCTCACAGGAAAATGGAACAATGACAAAACAGACATATTGCAGAAATGTTTATTATGAACTGCATTATTGTCACCTTTGAATAATCATGTACAAACGGGCAATGATGGGTTTGAGATGAAACGCCTTGCTCCAGTCATTGTGTAGGATTTCCTTGACCAGCTCCACAATGCAAATGATATTTTGATAATCCAAGGCTAAACGTAAAAAAGAAATTACAATACATGATCACTACAGCACTTTATACATTTCATAAGGGTCAATTCTACAACCATACTTTTGACCGGAACTTAACCACGGACAATACCTAGATAAAAGGTTCATACTCTTTTGAACTTTTAAAATTCCATGACTTTCCATGAGCTTTCTGAATTTTCCATGAACTATGTTAAGCAGTTGTTCTCAAAATATTGTCAAAACAATTTATTGCTTAACCATTGGATGTACAAGGGGGATGGATGCCACCCCCCTCCCCCCCATAGGGCTTTTTCAACGTTTTAAAAAGACAATTTACTCTAAGGGGCTTAAATGTCCAGTAGCTGTTCCTTCATTCTCTGCAGAAATTTTGATATGTCAATTGTGTGCCCATCATTTTTGACGCTGCCATGGTAACCTTCAAATTCCATGTAGGTCTGACCAAATATCAACTTTTTTGAGACACATGTAATTCTCTGTTGTTTTTTTCCAGTTGTCTTCATCAAATTCCAGAAATTCACGAATTTGTACATTTCATAAGCATTCTGGCTTGTTTTTGTGTTAATTTCCATTATTTCTTGACTTTTTTAAAAAAAATAGTGAAATCGAAGAGGGTGGATCAAAAATGGCGGGTCAAATGACGTCATTACCAACAAAAATGGTATCATCTTGTAGTGCAAGCTCAGGGCTATCTAATCAATGTAAATTTATTTCCCTCTGCCTTAAAAGAACAAACACCAAGAGGTGGGGTCCATCCACCCCCCCCCCTCCTTGTGCCACGGTGGGGGTATGAGTCAGCTTGTACGTCCAAGGGTTAATGTATTTTCCCACATTATGAAGCATAGAATGCATACTAGTGTTTATTTTTTTACTGGAATTAAAACCACTTTTCTGACTCTGTCTTTTGATCGTTTTGCCTTTTTATTCTCTGAAAGTATAATTATTGACTTTCATGAACCATGACTTCCATGACCCATACTTCAATTACATGCCTTTCCAGGCCTAGAACATGAACTTATAGAATTCCATGATATTCTGGGTTTTCCATAACCCGAATGATCCCTGCTAGAGTAACCCTGAGGGGTCAGCTATCAGCAAGTACCCTACTACAAGAACATGCACATGTACTAAACAGCACTACCACTGACTACAATGAATGTAAAAGCATTCGTTCAGAGCAGCATTAACTCACAGTGCATGAACGTTTCTCACCTGTCCCTGAACCCACGGATTCAAGAAAAGTGTCCAATTCCAGTGCAAACAGTTTCCAGCAAGAGTATCGAAAGCTCCATTGTATAATGGAAGGTCCTAGATAATAACACAAATGCAAAACAAGCATTAAACTCTATAAAGGACGGTCTAATAAAAATTATTGCCCACATCTCACATGATATTTAACTTATAACTGTATCAAGAGTTTTCATTGGCTTAGAAGCCATCATGTTACATGAGTAATTAAACCATGCTCAACAAATATGGTAAGCTTATGCAAAAAAGTTTGGGGCATTTTAATTTTTAATTTATTTTAGTGTAATATCTATATTTTTGGAGCATTTCTAATAAAACAATTATTCCACTTGCGCTTGTTGGATATAAGATGATTACAGCCAGCTCAGCGCTACACGCCATGTTGGCTATTTATTATCTCATATCCAATACACGCTCGTGTAATAATTATTAACTAAAGTTAGTAGATTATCCCTGAACATATAGGAGACTGACTAATGTTTGGTGGATAAACTGTCATCTCATGCAAAGCCTACAGTAAACGCCTAAGGAGATTTCCTGCTACACTTGTGTCTAATATGATCTCTATGATCTGCTGCAACAAACATGATAGGACTAAATTAAAACTAATAAAATTACACTCAGAAGCCTCTATTTTGCCTGCAATTAATATCCTTTAGAAAACAGCCCTAAGAAAATAATATCATGTGTGCTGATTAGTTAAAAATCGTGTTTCTATAACTTGATAGAAACACAGTACTAGCAAGAGCTGTTGACATAATGATGGCACGAGCGAAGAGAATTTACATTTTGATAATCAAAGTCAACAAGTTTTCCTTTTTTCCGTCATGTCACACCATGATGGAAAGGAAATAAAAAAAAAAAGAAATAGAAAACATGTTCTCCGTGTTTCTATCAAGTTATAGAAACATTCGTGAAAGTTTGGGAGAACTCGAAAAAAGCTGTGGAAACACTCGCCTACGGCCCGTGTACCCACAGCATTTCTCATTCACCCAAACTTCCACTCTTGTTTCTATAACTCAATAGAAACACGGTACATGTTTTCTATTTCTTAAGTAATACACAAAACTACAGTGGAATCCCAATTTTTTGTAACCCTCAATTTTTCCCACTTCCTGGTTATCAAAACAATAATGTCTTTTGGCTGAAAAGCTAGGAGAAATTATCCTGAATTTTTCAAGCCCCCAGATTTTTTCGAACTACAAAAAATTGGGATCCCACTGTGTTTACTTGCAACATGATGTTAACATTTTACATGTACCTTCAGCTGTTGGAGCAACTTTTCCCAGTGTACCAATGGGCATTACCAGCTCTTTAGAATCTGGGCTTAACACTGAGAAATGAAAAAATGTATATATATTAAGTTCATGTAAAAAACATCAGGTGACAGAAAGAGCATTTTGTTTTGTGAAACACTGCACCATTGTTGAAATTTGCTTGATGCAATTCCCCATTTTCCTGTTTATGGCTGACGCTCAGAGGGAAATTCTCAGGGTCTTTTCCAGTACTTGAGATTACCTTGAGAAGAGTAAATTCTCTACTCTCAAGCCTCCAATACCTGTGATGTATGGCACAACATTTCCTTCCCAAATGCACAAATGTACCCCTAACAAAATTAATGGCATATTTTGGCTATCAGCCATTTTTGCTACGTGTACATTATCTGCCATACTTTCAAGTACCATTCCATGGCAATCAAGATTGGCTCACAAACAGAAACTTAACGAATGTTCAGTAGTACTTCTTTAAACCTTTTGTTTTTGCATATGCATTTCGATTCTCACCATTCTTGTAGAGAAGTCTTGGAGTAACAATCTTCCAGATCTTGTTATCACCAGAGCAGTCTACATCACTTAGCTGGTTCTCTCTTAGAAGCTCTGTATATGACGTCACACAATCCAAGTAATCATACACCTATGTATACAAACAGACAGATTAGTATTTGCCAAAAATCAGTGCCTCAGCTATGAGCAAAGTACATGTAGCAATTAAAAA